GAATTGACCTCAGGAAACATCCAGCACTGGAGCTTAATCTTGCAGGTAAACTCTGGGAAACAAAATGCATGAATTAGCTTAGCGTTATCTAGCTCAAGGAGAGAACTTGGATTGTCATATGAGGGGGCTTCAAACGTTCATGGAAAGATGAGTTGAAAGAGTGTCTGGGGTCTTAAAGGCTTGAAGGTAATCAAGCGGCCATCAAGCTCAGAAGCAACAAAGCCCACATGGAAGAAGCACACCAGTCTATGCAACCACGAGGTGTCGAAGGGATCAGGTATAAGGCATCATCAGAACAAAAAAATCTTACCATAGTGAATGATGGGGGGAGTGCAGAGTGGAGACCCAAAGCCCATGAGTAGGCCACTGGAGATCCCCTTGCAGAGGGGTCTCGGGGAGGAGATGAGCCAGTCAGGGTGCAATGTAACAACGATGAGAAATACAACTTTCCTCTGGTTCCTAAATGTTTCCTCCCCGCTCCCACTACCATGACTCGAATTCCACCTTGCAAGTCTGGCTAGACCAGCGGATGTACACTGGTACAGATAGGAACTGGAAATACAGGGAATCCAGGGCGGATGAGCCCTACAGGACCAGTGGTGTGAGTGGCGAAACAGGGAGGGTAAAGGGAGAATGGGTAGGAAAGAGGGAACCGATTACAAGGAACTATATGTGACCTCCTCCCTGGGGGACAGACAACCGAAAAGTGGGTGAAGGGAGACGTCGGACAGGGCAAGATATGACAAAATATCAATTTATAAACTATCAAGGGCTCCTGAGGGAGGGGGGAGCGGGGAGGGAGGGGAAAAATGAGGACCTAATGTCGGGGGTTTAAGTGGAGAGAAAATGTTTTGAGAATGATGTACAAATGCGCTTTACACAATTGATGTGTGTATGGATTGCGATAACAGTTGTATGAGCCCCTAATAAAATGTTTAAAAAAAAAAGAAAGAGCATAGAAATATTCCACAAACTTTTAGAAGCTCCTTGGTACACCAACTCCTATCAGTTTTCAGTTGAGAGTTGCTCCAAGCTCTTCTAGTCTATCGTAGAGGGTAGAGAATCTTTCCACATGCTCTGAAAAGACAGAGTTGCTGGGAGGTGTGGAATGAACAGTCAGGATTGGCTAGTGTATTTGAACACTAGTAAAATCCTACCCCAAGTCTATTTGGGAGCTTAGTTTGGGCAGAGAAAATAAAGGAGACAGAGGATGGAATACTGGAAGGAGGTTGGAGTTTAATAACAACTTGAAGATTTTAGGAGTTGGTAAGGTTAGCATACCTAGGAAGAAAACAATGTGGACCTGAGCTTTATCGTTGGCCTTGAAACTGGCCCAGGAATATGAGCTTCTTGCCTTGACTATGGTACCAGAGAGGAAGTAACAGACCATAGTGGGGACCTCTGTCAATGATCGAAAAAGAACAAGCCTTTTAGGTGACACTGGAGCATTTTAACAATCCGAGCATTTTCCAACCTAACACTCAGAAGCTAAGACAACTGCAAAGATTATAATTCAATAACTTCTCTAACTGGAAGCTCTCAGTCAATGGACCAAATTTGGAATATATTTGTAACCTGACACCTAACCCGATTTTCCAGTGTCACACTTGTAGTCCAAAGAGCCATGTAAAAAGAAAGAATTGTACAATAAAGACTATGATGAAAATGAGAAATTACTGAATTCAGCACATTCGTTTAATTCTAAGAAAATCAAAATATTCTGGTTTCTATGGGTAAGAGCCAATCAACAGCAACAAACAGCATGGAGATCTAAATATTCCATAACTCAAGATGCATGTTTTATGTATGTGTGGAGACCTCTAGAGCATTAGAAAATCAATTGACTCCTTGTCTTCTATAGTTTATTTAGAGGCCTTGAGGGGAAGGAAACTCAAGGTCCCTATTCCTCCACCCACCTCACTCCCTGCACATTTTCCAAGTAAAGGACCAGGTAGGTCAGACTACAATATGTTGATTGACTCAAAACTCACTGCCATTGAGGCAACTCTGACTCATAGCGACCCTGTAGGAAAGGGTAGAACTGCCTCTGTGGATTTTTGAGACTCTGACTCTTTACATAAGTAGAAAGCCTTTTCTTTCTCCTCTGGAACAGCTGGTAGTTTTGAACTGCTGACCTTGCAGTTAGCCCAGTAAGCAACCACAACCACCACCAGGGCTCCTCATATATTGACCTGGCCAATTGTTTCTGGCAGGGAGCATCATGTCAGCCTTATAAATTTAGACTCATGGATGCAGCACTGCCTGTTATCTCTAAGCAGCTGATATGGTAAACTACCCTCGGTCTACTACCACATCACAGTCTAGCTCTTGTGTAAAAGGGGACATCTCTGTGAAGACTGTTCAAGTCTATGCAAATTTAATTCCTCTGTGTCATTGTGATACTAAGATGAGTTCCACATTCACACTAGCAGCATTTTGTATCCACGGCATGCTTTTTTTGTGTGTGTAGTGACATACCATCTGATATTCATGATATGGATCGCCTTGGTAGACTGGGTTCATTAATGTGGAATACAAAATTTAAGATAAGACAATAGATGCTGCATTTTTCACTAAATGCTAGTGTTCTTCAACCGAATGTCCTGAACAAAACCATTTCACAAGTCTCTGGAGAGGTCATCAGAGGCATTCAGTCAAGGTCTTCGGCAATTGAATTTCACATTTCTTTTGCCCACGAAAGAGTTATAACATGGATCAAGGAAATGGCCCCATTCGTGTATCTGGAAGTACTTACCTGCAGAATTTCTCCCCAAAAGTATCAAGGTACATACTGCTCAGCTATTAACCCTTTGGGGTTAACAGAACGAACAAAAAGTAGAGTTATACTTCCACAAAAGGATTTGTAGCAGCTATATCACCTGTCAACTTGAGGAAAGGGGGAGTCTATCCTGTTAATCAGACCTCGGTGTGGGCTTAGCCTTCTCCTGAGGATTCTGGGAACTCCTGTCTTCCTCCCTGGAGGTTGGACACACACTCTGCTTAGATTTTCTGCTCACAAGCCAAATGGAGCTATGCTGATTGCAGCCAGAGCCCTGGAGCTGGTGGGACCACGTAGAGACCCACATCGGCATGGAGATGCTTCCACCACAGGATCCACAAGACTTTCCACCCACTGGCCTGTGATCTTCCTGCATTTGACATTATTGCATATGCTGCGTGGGTCTATAGAATTTATGGTTAGTATTGGACATATGGGCTAATATTGGACTTATGGACTTGATCTGGAATGGGTCGTGATGTTTCCTTAATATACAATTACTCTTTGATGTAAAACTCTTCTTATACACACGAATGTTTCCGAATTTGTTTCTCTCGTCAACCCAGACTAATACAGGGTTCAAAGACCCTACGTGTATCTGCTCCATCTTTGTTCATCCCGAAGCCAGGATGAACTAAACGATCACAATCCAGGACCAGCGTCTAATTTCCTACAGCGTGGGATGCTTGCTGTGTACCATCAGTCTGCCCTGTTGGACAGAGTAGAACTGTCTACTAGGGTTTGCTAATCTTTCCAGGCACGGATTGCCACATCTTTCTGCAAAGGAGCTGCTAGTAGGTTAGGATCACCGACCGTTCAGTTATCAGCAGATCACTTAATCATTGCACTACCGGGGCTCCTGTGCATGGAACAAGCGGTATCAAACAAGACTCTCTTTCAGTATTTTTTATCTTGGTTCAGGTAACTGTGATTTTCATCTCAATGTAATGCAACTTTCCAAGATTTGGCTGTGCTTTGTAGTGGGGTTTGAAGTGCCATCTAGTGAAGTACACTTTGCTTACCTTGTGAAAACTACATGAAGGACAGCTAAGCCAAGGGTACCTCTGGGTACTTTGTTCTACTTATCAACCTAACCCCATCTCTTAAAAGTATCTCAATTTCACCCCAACCCCCACGAAGATACAAGAGTCTAAGTCCTCCTCTACTGGTAACAGAGCAAGGAATCAGTATGGAGCACAGTAGCAAGCAATACAAAATCTGGACAAGGAAGACTTGAAAGAGGCCAGGCAGATGGTTGGTTATCATTCAAGATTGATTCATCTGAGACAGAACTTCTATCGACTGTCTGAAAATGGGAAGCAAGGGTCCTTATCTTGGAAGAAGGGGTGACCCAGATTTGGCATCAATATGCTGGCGTTTGAAAGGAAATGCAAAAGACCTTGGGAGGGGAAGAGGTAACTCTTCAATGTTTTAAACCTTGTTTGAATCATGTTTCGACACCACTACCCTGCAGTCCTAGTTTTGAGTTAATCTGCTGTGTGCTTTACCCTAGAGACGGACCCATTTTCCGGCCAACCTAAACTTTCCTCTGATCAGTTCCACATGAACAGTTTTATGTAACAGATCCAGGTTCTTTCTTCTGACAGCCCCTGAGGCATATAAATTTAAACGATTTTCTCTCTTACATTTGCCAGCCCTCTTGCAGGTACACAGGACCATGTGACTGACTAGATGTAGACAATGAAATTCAAGTGGATGTGGCATGTGTCACTTCTGAGCTAACGTCATAAAAAGCCTCCATAAGCTGCTCCCGCCTTTCCATTTTTCCCTCGAGTGGCAACTGAAAAGGCTATACATTCCAGATGGTACAGTCAGCCTGGAGCCTTGAGTGACTGTGTGGAGTGCATCCCCGCCCCTCTTCCCCATGTCCTGCTGATCTGCTAGTATGAGCAAGAAGGAAAAGGTTTAGTAGGTAAAAACTCTGACACATCGAGACTGTCTGTTGCCTGAACATAAATTTAAGTGTATTCCTAATGAATACAGGTCTCTTCAGCACACCCAGAACTATTTTTGTACACTCTTAAATTAGCTACTAATTGAAAGCACTCATTGCTCCCTGACTTCTCTGAACTGGTTCTACGGGACAGAAGAGCACACGCAAGTCAGCAAACAGGGCTTTAACCTTCTACCAAATACAGAATGGTGAGTAGTGCATTTCAGCAAGCACTTTCTACTGTACAAAAAACAGGAAATAATTAAATTTCTTATAGACATTTCTTTATTATATTTTCCCACTTGAATATTTAGAGAATAATTTAAATGTAATGCATACTGACAGAAAGCACAGTATCAAATATTAGAGGTTTTTAATTCTTTTTCCTTTTCTCACCCTTTATTCCTTTAGGAAAAAAATATTTCGATGACCTCAAAGAAACAATTATTATGCTAATCACAGTATGCAGTAACACAGACAAGCCCGTACTCAATAGAAAAGAAAGCAACAAAGAAGTGAAAAGTCTTTCTCCTCAAATCATTTTAATTCAGTTTTTCCACAGCCATATAAATTTAAAAGTATGAAACAACAATAATACAGCTATAGAATCTAGGTTCTCTTTCAAAGCAGCAGCATATAAAACATAGAAAAGCTAAAACCTCAGCACAAGCTTCAAAAGAACAAGGACTGAGAGGATTTGGATGAAGACATGAAATGCACAAAATACAGTACACAAAAATACTAGAATGCTTAAAATATAAAGCTACACATTTCAGGTAGAAAGCATTGTAAAATATATAAAATATGCAAGAAATCAAAACCAAGAAGTTTTGTTGTTGCTGTTTTTATCATATAGTACCATGAACAAACGGGAACTGGCAATTAGCATTTGAAGATGGGAACAAGAAAAGAGCAGGTTCCCATTTTAAACTTTATTTCTAGGCTTTAGGATTTCACCTTCTTGACATCCTTCTTTCCAGAGCTCTCAGTAGCTGACTCTGCTTTTCCTTTCTGTGACTAAAATGGAAACAGATTTAAAGTTCTGCTCCAATATGCACATTTTTAAATGGCCCAACAATGTTAAATCTAGGATGTAAATGCATTTTTAAAGTTTTTTAACATAAATATTCACTTAAAAGTTATACTCACAGTTAACGTTCTATATAGCCCAACAAACTATATAACCCAGTGTAAAATAACCTTCAAAGATGCTTCTCTTAAAAAAGACACAAAATACCCATCAAAAAATAGTCATCAAGTGTCTTATACACAGCACTCTAAATGCACTCTGATCTCAAAGAACTACTTCATACTTAAAAGTTTTCTGGGCAAAGCTTTATTTAGCAGTGAATTTCTTCTTTGAAAACTCATGATAGACATTAACACCATAGAGCATATCTCGTATACTCTGTGCTGCGCATTTCTTTCATTTTCACATCTTGGAAATCAAGATGCATCTTATAATGGATGGCAGTAGTTTGTCTTAGGCATACATAAAATAATGCTGTTTCTTACAATAGAAGGCATCTCCAATTTGATGAAATAGGGTGGTTTCTTTAACCACGCTCAAGTAACATCATCTTTTAAAGAGTATTAGTAAGTTGTACAAGGCAACCAGACTGGATTACAATCCAGGTATTGTTAAACAGTTCTCTTATTACTAAACAGCTCTTCATTGTTTATTCAAAGGACATATTTGCACTCATGGTTCCACAAAAACATCAGAAAACTTGCAGGATCCAATCAGAACTCCCAGTTTCAACTTCAGCCCCATCCCACCACCCCCACATTTCCCCTGCCCCACAGTATCGCTATGTTTCCGTCTGAAGGGTTTTGCTTGCACGACACTTCTGTTTCAATTCAGAAGGGATTTTTTGTAAGACTGAGTCCTGCTCCTCAGAAGTGCCTAACCTTAGGTTCTACATACAAACAAGAAACATGTGCTTGTGTTCTTATTCTTTGTCTGTCAAAAACAAATGAGCACTCCATCAGACCAGTTTTGATCATATAAATCAGTCAGCATGACCTTAAACATAAGATAGGCATTTTAATGAAGTAAAAAAAATGAGATCTACCTAAAAGTTAGGAAAATGCTGAAAATTTTACCATTGGAGTTTTAGTTGCCCGTTTCTTCTTTTCTGCTCTCTCTCTTTCCTCTATTTCCATGTTTTCTTTCTCAATCAATGAAATCAGAGTATTACAGCGTCTCTGGAATTCCTAAACCAAAGAGTGGAAAGGCTTTTAGTTTCCGTGGCCCAGCTATAATTATTTTTTAAATGACAAGCATTTAATTGCATATTTCTTTTTTTTTTTAATTGTATCATGTCTATGGTACAGAATTGCCTCAAACACATATAGTTCAAAACAGTATTCATACAGAGTATTAATAGATCCCACGAAAAGAAGGGGAAGTAATTAATGTCCTTCCATATGTGAATAGTTCAATTGTGGCACATCCAAACCCTCGAATACTACTCAGCAACTGAAAGGAGTAATCTAAAGATAAAACCACCTAGATGAACCGCAAAGCAATGATGCCAAGTAGGGGGAAAATGTAATATAGTTACATAACAATGTTGAAATGGCACTATTATACAAATGGAGGGAAAAGCGATGGTTGTCAGCGCTAAGGGAAATGGGAAAGGAGGGGAGAACTATTGAAGGGATAGTACGAGGGAGTTTTGTGGTAATGATGATGCCAATCTTGTTGTCATTAGGTGGTGTTGAATCAGTTCTGACTCATAGCAATCTTATGTACAACAGAACAAAACACGTTTCAGTCAGGCACCAGCCTCATGATCATTAGTATATTTAAGTCCATTGTTGCAGCCGCTAATGTCAATTCATCTTGTCCAAAGTCCTCTGGTTTTGTAAACCCTCTACACAGCTTGATGTTCTTCTCCAGGGAATGGTCCCTTCCAATAACATGCCAAAAGTACACAAGAAGAAATCTCATCACCATCCTTTTTTAGGAGCATTCTGGCTGCACTTCTTCCAAGACAGTGTTGTTCAAGCCCTGGTGGTGCTATCAGCTAAGTGCTGGGTTGCTAAAGGCAATGTTAGTGGTTCAAAACCACCAGCAACTCCTAGAGAGAAAAAAGAGGTTATCGGCTTCCATAAAGATTCACTCTCAGTAATCCAAGTCACTGTAAGTAGGTTTGGGGGTTCTTTCTGATTCATTGTCCACCTCTTACATGTATAGCTTAGAACAAACCTTTGATTTTTAACACTTTAACCCTAGATTTATGGAATTTCCTATCTACCTATCTCTACAGATACTCATGAAATTGATATGTGAACAAAACTACATGTTGAAAACTTATCTACAATCAACATAATGATATGCTATTAATTTATAAAGGAAATGATGTGATAGTATATAGTTATCTAAAATGTATATTTAACATTACACATTTGAAATATTGGGTTTGAAGTATCCTAAGGGTCCCTTGGGTCGGTCAATGACAATCTCTGCTGCACCATCTTTACATTTGATGCTGACTTTCTAAGAACATTTTGACTACACTTTCACTTATTACTAAAGTCATGTTTTCATGAACAAAACTGATTTACTGGGACTAATACTCAATTTACATTTGTGTCAAATTAACACATAGCCATAGATAGGTATACCACACAGATAATTTCAAGATTAAAAGGCTCAGAAGAAAATGAAGTTGGATATTTATTTGTCTCATTAAATGGATAAAAGTCAGCATAAATGGTAGGAGGTAAGTTTAATGGTTTCTGTAATTTTCATTGAGGAAATTGAAATGCATGAAACTGAGACATCCCATAAATCTAGTCTTAAAGTTTTGTTTTGTTGTTTTGTTTTTGCAGATCTGACCAATGCAATTCCTCCATTGATTTATTGACTGCTGCTTCAATGAACAATGATAGTGGATGCAAGTGAATTGAAACCCTTGAAAGCCTGAATCTTTCACCATTTATCATAATTTTGCTTATTAATCCAATTTTAAGGATTTTTCTTATCTTTGAGTTGCAATCCATATTGAAGCTGCAATCCTTGATCTTCATCAGCAAGCACCTTAAGTCCTCTCAGCAAGTAAGGTTCTGTCATCTACATATTTCAGATTAAGCTCTCATCCGATCTTGATTCCTCATTCTTCTTCATATAGTCTAGCTTCTCAGATTACAAGGGATACCCCCCCCCAAAATGGAATTTTTTTCATAGCTATATAATTAAAAAAAAAACTTATTACCTTCAAACTACTCTCCATTACACTTAATACATTTGTAAAATCTACGCTTCCATTCTTGGAAACATTTTTCAAACTCATCTGTTTGGATGGCTGACAGTACCTCCTTCATTTTTTCTTCACCTCTTCTACTTCATCAAATCGCTGTCCTTTCATGTCCCTCTTCATTCCCGGAAACCAAAAGAAGTTGCACAGAGTGAGGTCAGATGAGTCAGGTGTGTGGGGCAAGAGAGGCATGCTGCTTTTTGCCAAAAACGAACATACTGAGATGATGCATGAATAGGTACAGGGTTGTGGTAGCAAAACCAGTCCCCATCTGCCACAAACTAAGCCTTTTTGGTCGTACACTGTTAAGCACTCTTTTCAGAACCTCTAAATCAGTGGTTCTCAACCTTCCTCATGCTGCGCCCCTTTAATACAGTTCCTTATGTTGTGGTAACACCCCAACCATAAAATTATTTTCGTTGCTACTTCATCACTGTCATTTTGCAACTGTTATGAATTGGCTGGTCCCTGTGAAAGGGTCATTCGACCCCCAAAGGGATCACGACCCACAGGTTGAGAACAGCTGCTCTAAATAGAAAGCATGATTAAAAGTCTGACTTGGTGGGATGAACTCCAAATGTACTATGCCCCTCACATCAGAAACACAAATGAGCATCATCTTAAGTGTTCCAGAATTCTCATTCTTCAAAATGTTATCCATAAATTTCTGTGGTCCAGAGTCAATAAAACACAAGCAAACATCTTTCCGGTATTCTCTGCTTTCAGCCAGTGCCCATCTAACATCAGCAATGTTCCCACATTTCCTTCTGAATCTAGCTTGAATTTCTGGCAGTTGTCTGTTAATGCCCTACTCTCTTCAGCATTTTACTTGTACATAATTTCCTCATTCTACTAGGTCGCCTTTGGAATATGAATAAATATAGATCTCTTTCAGTCAGTTGGCCAGGTAGTTGTGTTCCGGGTTTATTGACATGAATGAGTGCTTCCAGCATTACATCCCTTTATTAAAACACCTCAATTGGTATTCCATAAGTATCTGAAGCCCTGTTTTTCATTAATGCTTTGAGGGTAGTTTGGACTTCTTAAGTTCTTGGTCACATTCTATCTCTGAAATGGTTGCATGTTGGCCAATTCATTTTGGAAAAATAACTGAATTGTCCTTGCATCTTCTTTTGATACTTCCTCTATCATTCTATTTTGTGCCCAAAGAATCTGCCAATATATTAACTCCAAACCTGCCTTCAGTTCTTTCAGCTAAAGAAATGCCACGTATGTTCTTCCCTTTTGGTTTTCTAATGTCAGGTCTTTACACATTTCATTATAGCCCTTTTTCTAGAGCTTCCCTTTGAAACTTAAAGTTGAACTCTTTTGTAGCATCATTTCTTTCTTTTTCATTAGCTACTCTACATTCAGGTTTTAGTCTCTTCTGACACCCATTATGGTTCTCTCTTTCCTGTCTTTTAAATGTCCTTTTCTATCTTCATGTATGATATCCTATGTCCTTGATGTCATCCCACGTCATTTGATCTTTAATAATCAATTTTCAATATGTCAAATCTATTCTTGTATCTTGAGATGGTTTCTCAACTCAGGTGGGATAGGCTCAAGTTCATATTTTGGCTCTCATGGACTCAATTTAACTTTCTTCAGCTTCAACATGAACATGCGTATGAACAATTGATGGGTATTCCACAACTGGCCCCTGGTTTTTCATCATCTCTTCCCACAAATGTAGTTTGAGGCTAATGTATAGTCACCATTTATATTGATAGGAAAAAAGTATTATCAGTGATTCCATGTGGCCAATCCTAGTCCATTTCAGCTCACAAATGCTGAGGACATGATCTTTATCCAGATCGTTTTTTCTATCTGTCCATTTCCTAGCTTTGTGCATCACACATGCCATGTTCTGATTTGCAGCTGTTTCATCTCAATTTGAATCCTACGCCACAAATGAGGGTCCTAAAATGGTTTACTTCTCTGAGGTAACAATTCCCCAGCTGTGTTTTGAGTGTCGTCCATCTTGGAGGGCTCATCTTCCAGGGCGGTATCAGATAATGTTGTACTGTTAAGCATGAGATTTTCACTAGCCCATTTTTTTCCGAAGTAAATCACTAGTTCCTCCTTCCTAGTCTGTCTTAGTCTGAAAACTCTGCTAAAGCCTGTCCACCATGAGTGACTCTCCTAATATCTGGAATACTGAAGGTATAGCTCCAGCATCACGGCAACATGCAAGCCATTCACTGTATAGCAAACTGACAATGTGGTGAGCATGAATGTACATGGGATAAAACTGTATTGAACTATGTACACACACACAAATGATTTCCTACACCAATGATAAAATCTGAATAAGGTCGATATTGTCCCAATGCCAGTTTCCTGGTACCAATGCTGTAGCACTATAGTTATGCAAGATGTTACCGTAGGTAAAACTGCATGATGGGTGCCTGGGACCCCTCTGGAAATTTCTTTGCAATGCCATGTGAATGTATAGTTATTTCAAATGAAAACTTTATAAAACACACATAAACTAAAAAGCTAATAAAGAGGGTATCCTATGATCAATATATATTTTGGAAGACACTCATCGTGATGGATTGACACAGTGGCTACAACAATGGGTTCAAACATGACAACAATTGTGAGGATAGCACACAACTGGGCAGTGTTTTGTTCTATTGTACAGAGGGTCGCTATGGGTCAGAACCAATTCAGCGGCATCTAGCTGCAACAACAGGTTAACAAAGGTGAACTGATTTCTTTACTGTAGGGTTTCTTGGGGCCTCTAAATTCCTGATGAGGACTGTGAACCCAGCTGCTCAACTTTATTTTCACAAAACATCTTATGGGGCCAGTGTTCTGAAGAGCAATTTCAGGAAACACTGTCATGCTGTTAAGTCAGAACAAATAATACCTGAAAAGATTTTTGTATTAACCTTGACACTACCTTTATTTCACCACCAGCAAATCAATTCTTCTAAGCTATAA